CAGACATCTGCTGGAAATACAACACAGCAGAGAGGAAACAGTCTAGGAGGTTCCTGGAGTGTGTGGAAGATCAGCTGGATAGTGAGCCTACCAGGGGAGGTGCCTCGCTTGACCTGCTGTTTACGGACAGAGAAGGACTGGTGGGAGATGTGGTGGTTGGAGGCCGTCTGGGGCTTAGCAACCATGAAATGATGGAGTTCTCAGTTCGTGGTGAAGTTAAGAGGGGGGCCAGCAAAACCACTGCCCCGGGCTTTCAGAGGGCGGACTTTGGCCTGTTGAGGACGCTGGTTGAGAGAGTCCCCTGGGAGAGAGTCCTGAAGGGCAAAGGGGTCCAGGAAGGCTGGCTCTTCTCCAGGGAGGAAGTCTTAAAGGCACAGGAGCAGCCTGTCCCCATGTACTGCAAGACAACCGGCCTGGCTGAACAGGGAGCTCGTGCTGGGGCTGAGGAAAAAAGGAGTGTCTGCCACCTATGGAAGAAAGGGCAGTAAATCTGCAGGAGTGAGGGGAAAGGCTAGTTTCTCCTGAAAATGGATGGTGAGCTACTGAAGGCAGGTTCTGCAGCTTGGGCGGTGCTTGGAACGAGTACTGCTTTGGAAAATCCGAACTAAGTGATGAATAGCAGGAGATAACAGCATATGGATGCTAAGGAGGTTCCAGTAGTGTAGTGGCTGTCAGTTTTATTACAGTGCAGTGCAACAGCAAGCGAAGCATGCTCTTGTGAGATAACTTTAGGAAGGAATGTACAGTGATTCTTCCCCGCCACCGAGTTAGCCAGGTGCTGTTTGGTGGAATTCAGTGTAGTCATCCCTCTTTCTAGAGGTCGCTTTAACCTCACTCAAGAGGAGTACAGGGGTCTCGTTAGGTCGTGCAGAGAGGAAATTGGAAAGGCAAAAGCCCAGGTGGAACGCAGACTGCCCACTGTTGTAAGGGACAAAAAATGTTTCTACAAATACATCAACAACTAAAAGAGGGCCGAGGAGAATCTCCATCCACTGTTGGTTCAAAAACTGTGTAGATGTGGCGCTTTAGGACATGGTTTAGCAGGCATGGTGGGGTTGGGTTGACGGTTGGACTTGATGATCTTAGAGGTCTTTTCCATCTTTAATGATTCTGTGATTCCAAGTAGGAGTAGTAGAAGGAAAACTTGTAGTTGTTTCATGAGACAGGTCATGAGCTTCTGTCAAGGAGGATGTCAATTAAGTGTTTTGCCAAATTAGTTTGTAGGTTGTCTTAGCTGCTTTTTTTCCTTCCCCGTAGTGTTAAGGCTCATTAGTTCACGTGTCTTGCTCAGGTTCAGTTTTCATCAATATTTCCGTGCAGGTTGGTAAGGAGAAAATGTTGCCTGTGAAAGTTGTGAAAATACATCCCCTGGAGAAAGCTGATGAAGAGGCCTCGGAAAAGAAGTCTGATGGAGCCTGTGATTCACCGTCCAGTGACAAGGAGAACTCCAGCCAGGCAGCCCAGGACAACCAGAAGGAAGCTGTCCTGAAGGAGGATGACAACAGAAGGGAGAGTATGAGTAAGTAGTAAGACAGCACGCCAGTACGTAGCACCTGGAAGTATTTGAATTTACGTACGTCTTGGGCCTGGGCTGTGGCCGTTGTAGGTGGGTGTAGACAGTGTTGTGCAATGCAAATCCTGAACTTGTCACTGTTGGTGGTGCAGCTTTGGTGGCATCAGTGCTGTTTGTTTTCAGCTGTTCTTGCCCATTTTCAAGCAGAAAATGTCCTGTCATTCTAAGGTGTAATATTCTAAGGTGTAATACTAAAAGCTGTGCATGAAACATAGAAGCTTTGAAAGTGCAATGTGTTTTGGTTTTTTTTTTAAAAAAAAAAGGGGGGGGGATCGGGGGGAACAGCGAAGGTTCATGCAGAATCATAAGATTCGGCTGTGATGTTCATCATCAGAACAGGTATCTCTAGTTCTAAAGCCTGTGGGTCTGCAGAGGCAAGCTCTAATTCTCTTTCATGTCCCCAGCTGACATAAAAAGTAGGGATTTTGTTTGTTTGTTTATCCCCTTTCGAATTTTCAAAAGCTGGGACAAAATTCATGCAGAAAAATGCAGATTTCATTTTCTTTTCTAAGGTTCAAAAAAAAAGCATGCTTTCAAACTTTGTTCCCCTCTTTCATAGCTGTTCCTCCTTGCTGCACAACGAAACAGTGGATGTCCAAGGCTTTTCTTGACTCTGAGAAGGTGCTTTTGAAAGAGGGGGGAAAAAGTTTCATATCCTGTGTAACTCCTTAAAAATTGAATTGTAAGATTCTTTAAAAGAGATTTCAAAAAGTGTTTTAAAGCAAACCAAACAAGCCCAACCCTGCAGCATAGTTCTAATCGGGATAGCTTTATTTTAAAGGCACATAAATGTAATAAGCTGTTCACACCTGTAAGTAGCTGCTCCGGCATCTGGGGAAGGTGTCTGCAGCCGCCTCTGGTGGGGAGAAGAGGAAGCTCGGGAAACAGCCCAGCAAGTTAATAGTGAAGTCAGGAGTGGAAGGCAAGTTCTACCAAGCTCTAGTCCCGAGCTTGATAATTGTCAGCTGTTCCTGACCGGTACTGGAAAAAGTTGTGAGCTGTTTTGATATCATGGCAGTGCTCTGTACAACCAAGAAGGGAAAAAAAGCATTGCAGAGCGATCTGGCCTTACGCTCATGCTTCGAACCAGTGCTCAGAGAGGGACTAATGCATGCGCTTTTTTTTTCTGTTCAGTGGTCGTACTCTCAAACTACCCCATAAGAGGCATGGGAAGTACTTTTTACTTTAAAAATGCTCATTGACCAAATCTACAGCAGCATTTGTGGGCCTGGGTGTTTACTGAAGCCTGCCGTAGTATTTTGCTCGTCGGTGCGCAGCGTTCTCGCCAGCCGTGTTCAGCTCCGCTCTTGCTGGCCTGGCAGCACAGCACTCTGAGACCGGGAGAACGCTGCGGGAACGCGATTCCGGTGCCTCTCCCATCTCTCACTGGGCTGATGGTCTGGCCCCTGCTGAGTCGTCGCTACAGACTGGGACTGTCCAGCCCTTTCTGTAAAAGATGAACCTCAACATTTTCAAATCGGAGATGCTGGCAGAGTCGTAACATAATCAGTAAAAGCAGTGAGCACTCATTCTTTTAACTCTTCTCCTTGCACATACGCATTCATTAAAAGGACATTTTATTGCTATAACGCTTTTGTATTCTGGGTTGTAGTAGAACATAGGTTCATAGTAAACTCGTGATATTCCAGAGTCCATGAGAAGAGCTGCGCAGCATCGGTTACACTTTTACAGCGTGCTGCCGAAGCGCCGCAGGCTCGCTTTGCTTTAGAGGGATCAGGCCCTGGACTGCAGCTGCCGGAGGCTGCGTACGCTGTCGGGGGGGCCCTGGCCACGCTTTGACGCTTGGTTTCTGACCATGTGCGTTCTTGAGCACTGGTGATACAGGTTGAGGTCGGTGAGCATTGAAAAGCCATGACAGGCTCTGCGTCTGACGTCAGAGCTGTGTCTCTGTGCACACACGAGGGGGCAGGGTTAGCCTGAGCATTTTTAGTAATGCCGGTGTCAAACTCGCTGGTTTTGTTGGAGGAAAGGAGAGGCAGAGAAGAGAGCTTCAGTCTCTCTGGTTAGGAGTCTGCTGTGCTTCAGAAGCTAAAAATAAGGCTTTATACCAGCTTTATTGCACTGTATGTGTAGGCTCAAGTGGCTCTGTATTTTTAGTTGCTTAGGGAGTGAACTCTGCAAAATCTGCAGGAGTGAGGGGAAAGGCTAGTTCTTCCTGAAAATGGATGGTGAGCTACTGAAGGCAGGTTCTGCAGCTTGGGCAGTGCTTGGAACGAGTACTGCTTTGGAAAATCCAAATTAAGTGATGAATAGCAGGAGACAACAGCATATGGATTCTAAGGAGGTTCCAGTAGTATAGTGGCTGGCCGTTTTATTACAGTGGAGTGACAACACAATGTGAGATAACTTTAGGAAGGAATGTACAGTGATTCTTCCCCGCCACCGAGTTCGCCAGGTGCTGTTTGGTGGAACTCAGTGTAGTCATCCCTCTTTCTAGAGGTCGCTTTCAGGCCTGTTGCAGCAGCAGCAGTGTAACAGAGTCCTCCAAAGTCAGAGCCAGCACTGAGCAACGCAGAATTATTTCTTAAATACAGGCTCACTGTGCGCGATACGCAGATCCAGCGAAGGTGACATTCAGCCCGTTAAAAGGCATCGAGGCAGATCTCTGGAAGCAGATGTTTTACACAGTTTGGTATGTCCTGTATGCGACTTCCACTGTGCTGTTGAGCAGAGAAATGGTAGCTCAGTACTTGTGAACTCAACAAGATTTTTTTAATACAAATGTGGAACCACAGCAGACCAAAGTTACGTCTCAGCCTGACTTATGTGTCAGAGGACACTGATCCTCTCATCACACTGTCGCCGTTACAGAGTTCGGGGGGGTTATTTTAAAGAGAAGCTTCTGTAACGAGCGGAGGATGCTACGCTGCGTTAGCTGAAACGGATCACTCCTGTGGGAAGTGGCTGCGCACTTACGTGTACGGTGCAGTGAGCCTGGAGCAGCGGGGGTCTGCTCCCTGACCGAGGCACCTGACTTTGGAAGGCAGGCAGGCAGAACTTGCTTTTATACTGTGTGAGCTATAATGCTGCTGAAGCTTAAATGCTGTAGGGCTTACAGTGTGACAATGAGATAGAGAGAGAGAGATATTTGTAAGTCTGACTTAGGTCTAGCATCTACTTGTATTCTGCACGTACTTGTTAGGTAATTATTCTCATCATGCTTGCTTGAGTGTTTTCTGTGAGTCCTAGCCACAAACATAAAAACATTTGGGGATCACTTTGTTCAGTAAGCTTGGATTTTGTCTTAAATGATTAACATTTGCAACCTGAATTAGAAATAACAGACTCAACACCAGCTGGCAGGAAGATGGGATGCCTTTGTGCTCTTTCAGTGACATCCCTTGAGAATAAAAGGGCTGGTTGTAGAAGCGTGCTCAAAATCTCCAGCTAAACTACCCTGTACACACAGGGCTTGTAACTGTAAAATGCTTGATGGCCACCAAAGTTAAATGATTTTAAAAGTTACGTGGATTTGTAGTCAGTAATTCCTGCAGAGGGATTGTTTGAGATGCGGCGTGACAGAGACAGCTAGGGCTCTGGACAGGAGCTCCCTGAGCAGGTTGCTGGTTAGGTTGTGAAACCTGTCTCCCCTTCGTGAATTTTACAGACCTTTTCTCCCTTTGCACAGGTAGTTGCAGCTTACCCTCTGCAGAGAGATGGGTTTACATACTGCCAGTGGTCCTTTATAAGCAGGAAGGTCCTGGATTGAAGATGGGTGTTACCGCCTCCTTCAGAGCTGTTTAGGGACTCCATTCCCAGCCTGCATCTTCAGGACGTTTCTAAAACCCAATCTGGGATTTTTTTCCTGATGTTCTAGTTCAACCAGACACTGCACAGATAGCAAGGGCTGGGGTGCTCAGTCCAACGGTGATCTGGATTCTTTAACTTTTTTTTTTCTTTCTTTCGACATAATAATCCTAAGGCACTTAATGTCTTACCTTGCTTTATCAGACGATCGAGCACGTAGGTCTCCTCGGAAGCTTCCCACTTCGTTGAAGAAGGAGGAAAGGAAGTGGGTTCCACCTAAATTCCTGCCACACAAATACGACGTCAAGCTGAAAAATGAAGATAAGGTGAATTGTCTGCTTGAATCCTTTCTGTTATGATATGAATATGTGAGTTTAATGAAATAACTGCTCTTGGTGTGTCTGTACAGCACAATGCAGTACTTTTGGCCCGAGTCATGGTGTTGGAAGCGGGATGGCTGTAGCTGTCTGTGAGGCTGACTGGCCTGGCTGTTTCTGCATGTAACTGGGTTTTGTGCATGGAGACCCCTGACAATTCCCTGGCACCACGCACCGAGTCACGGTGCTGCAGTAGCTTAGAGTGGGTGCTGGTAACTGGCTAATCTCTGGCCAGGCAGTGAATGAAGCTTGGTCAGAAGTAGACTGGTTAAATCACGAGCGACGGTTGCTGCTCTCGTTCTAACTGAGCTTCTCTGCGAGTTGTAGGTAGCTGCGCTTTGGGAAGCTCGGTGGAGCTGCAGCACTGCTGCGTGCTTTTTGTCATCTGCTTGCTAATTTGACAAGAGAGACAGTGCTGACCTCGATTTAATGAGTACCACTTGCCCTTACTCCTGTGGTCTCAGGAAAAAAATCAAACCAAAATAAACATTAGTGTGTAAAAGCTTTTAAGTTAGTGGCAAGCACAAGCCAGAGGAAGGTCAGAGATAAAGCATTGGGCTTTGGCAAGAAATCTGCAACATAAACTAACATTTTTTTACTTTTTTGGGTCACTGAATCTCCTGCCAATCTCTGTGCATCTCAGTTCTGCAAGTTCTGTTTGGTTTGTTCTGAGTCTTTGCAAGAGAGCTTTGAAAGAACAAAGAGTTTGTGGACATGAAGCAGTGCAATGGTCCTTGCTCCTTTTAGCCACGTGATATGTCTTTATAATGTGGTTAGAAGCTAAATGTTATCTGTCTGTCTGTCTGTTATCTCCAAGATCATCAGCAACGTACCAGCAGATAGCTTAGTCCGTACAGAGCGTCCTCCCAACAAGGAGATCCTGAGGTACTTCATCCGTCACTACGCACTGCGGGCCGGCACGTGTGAGAATGCCCCATGGGTAGTGGAGGATGAGTTAGTGAAGAAATACTCCCTCCCGAGTAAATTTAGTGACTTCTTGCTTGACCCACATAAGGTAAGAATTCCTGAAAGTACCTCCATCGCTTTCTCACCCGTGCCCACCCTTAAACAGTCTTGGCAGAGACTTCAGTGTGCCGGTTGGGTTTTGGTGCTCCCAAGCTTGCATCAGCTTAGAGGGGTGCAGAGCAGGAAGGCCCACTCTTCTGCAGACTGACCCTTTGGGAGGTGACTTACAGGCTGCCCAGGGAGGTTGTGGAGTCTCCTTCTCTGGAGATATTCAAGACCCGCCTGGACAAGATCCTGTGCAGCCTACTGTAGGTGACCCTGCTTCGGTTGGACTGGATGACCCACAGAGGTCCCTTCCAACCCCTACTATTCTGTGATTCTGTGATTCTGTGACGCAGCTGCAACGTCTGAGACAGTGGTCTGCTCCGAACACTGGAGGTGTGACTGCCTTTTTTGACTTTCTCCAATAGTTTGTTTTACTCACCTCACTCATGCCTTTACTCGTAGGCAAATGGAAGTGCTGTGCTCCTTACCTGGTAATGTCAGTTACTGGGCCCTTTTCATGGGTACAGTGCAGAAGCTGGATGTGTTTGACTTCGTGATGCTGGGTTCTTGGAGGGTGCTGGGCTGAGTGATGGCAGATACCACAAACTTTGTACTGAATAAGTGGGAGGGATGTGGTTTTTTTCCCCAGCCCTGTGTAATGACCAGCCATATACGCTGTTAACCGAGTAAATGCTGTATCATGAAATGTGCTGTTTTAAAACCTGTCTTTGGGTGTAGAAAGCACTATTTTGTTCGTTTAGTAAACTCACTTTTTCATGAACTCTGTCAAGTGTTGTTCTAAAACTAGAAGACCAATACTTGCTATATCCCTTTTTCCTCATCAGGAGATGTGATGAACACTGTTCTGTTCTAGAAAGCTTCTATGGACTCTTCTGGACACTTGTAAATTTGTTTAAAGGGAAAAATACTTTTTTCATATGTGAGCAGTGTTTGCCCTCGCTGTAGTATTTGGGGTCACTGCCTTAATAGAAATTAAAGTATTTGCTGGTGGTGTCCAGATTCTTGTCTTCAGCACACTGACAGATGGAGGTGTACCCTTAGTATAAGAGGAAGTTACGCACCTGTAGCATCTCCAGTTTGACCAACCAAAGTCCTTAGCTTTATGTTTAGGGGTGGTGCTTTCCATAGCATGTTTTCCACGTGACAAAGAGATTGGATTTATATCCTTGTATTTTATTTTTCACTTCTTGAAATACTTTAGTGTTCTGGGTGCGTCCTGAAACTGATTTCGAGATGCTGAGATAGTGCTGAAATCAGTCTCTCTCTGGCTCTGGGTTAAACTGTTCTGTGCTAAAAGTACGCTGTCAGGTAGGTTATTTCAGCAGCTTAAAACCAGTCGGATATTCATCACATTGCTGCAGAACTGAATCCCCTCTCACCTTCATTCCAGACGCTGTCAGGCAGTTCAGAAGCCAGTCTCTGAACTCCTGTCACCCGTCACTTCTGTGCTGCCTCAGTTTTCCGCCGGGTGGGGTCCCGGGCTGAGCCCTGCACGGCTCACTACGAAATCTCTGAGCAGGGGAATAGCTTTTCAAATTCATGTCAGCATTTCCCAGGCAAACCCACTCCCTCACTTTTTAAGTAGAAACAAAATGGGTTTATGCAGTGTAGTAGGAAACATGTAAAATTTTTAGTAGTATTTCATTTTATAAAGTTAAATGTGAACTTTCTGGAATGAGATAATGACCTCATAGCCAACACTGTGACTACAAAGTAGAATATCGAAAGCTATCGCAGAAGCCTGTTACCCTTAACGTACTGAGTACTCCTTGTTCATTGGAAAAAATACATTGAAAATTAACATAGGCAAAAGTAATTGACAGAAAAGGATCTAGATAACCTTCCTTTAAATATTAGTATCAAATCATTCTTTCTTTTATTCTAGTATATGACTCTCAACCCCTCAACCAAGAGGAAGAGCTGTCGGTCACCTGACAGAAAACCTTCTAAGAAATCCAAAGTTGATGGTGCATCCCTGGGCCAGCCACTGAGCCCTACTCTGTGGTGCCACGTGCATTTGGAGAAGTCTATCATTGGCTCCCCACTGAAGGTGAAAAACTCTAAGAATTCCAAATGTCCTAAAGAGGAGCTGGAAGAGGTGATGAAAATCATGTCACCTGCTAAACTCGGTTCTAGCTTTCACATTCCAAAGGGGAGCCGACTGGGGAAAGGCAGCAACAAATCCTTGGACAAAAAGCAAAGAGGCAAAAGGGTTCTGAACGGGCAGAAGTCAACGGGGAAATCAAAGTCTCCTAGGAAGGGCCTGAAGACCCCTAAGATGAAAATGAAACAAATGACACTACTGGACATGGCTAAAGGCACCACTAAGGTGTCCAGGGCTCCCAGGAACTCTGGAGGCACCCCTAGGTCTTCCAGCAAACCCCAGAAGCATCTGCCTCCTGCAGCACTCCATCTCATTGCCTATTACAAAGAAAACAAAGACCGGGAAGACAAAAAAAGTGCTCTTTCCTGCATCATCTCCAAAACAGCTCGGTTACTCTCAAACGAGGATCGTGCTCGTCTCCCTGAGGATTTGCGAGGGTTAGTACAGAAGCGCTATGAGCTTTTAGAGCACAGGAAGAAATGGGCCACCATGACAGAGGAGCAGCGAAAGGAGTACATGAAGAAGAAAAGGGAGAAGCTGAAAGAGAAACTGAAGGAGAGAGCAAAGGAAAGGAAGGAGAAGGAGATGAAGGAAAAACTGGAAAAACAGAAAAGATTCGAGGACCAGGATCTTAAAGGGAAGACTTTGCCAGCTTTTAAACTGGTTGATACTCCAGAAGGCCTTCCTAACACACTCTTTGGGGACGTGGCCATGGTGGTGGAGTTCCTGAGCTGTTACTCAGGGTTACTGATGCCAGATGCTCAATATCCCATTACGGCGGTTTCCCTGATGGAAGCACTTTGTGCAGAAAAGGGAGGCTTCCTTTATTTGAACCGAGTACTGGTGATTCTTTTGCAGACCCTGCTGCAGGATGAAATTGCTGAAGATTACGCTGAGCTGGGCATGAAGCTTTCTGAAATACCGCTTACTTTGCATTCTGCTTCTGAGTTGGTTCGCCTGTGCCTACGCAAGTCAGATGTGCAAGAGGAAAGTGAGGTCTCGGATAACGTAGATGAGAGCAAGGATTCGGCAGCTTTTGAGGATAATGAAGTACAGGATGAGTTTTTGGAGAAACTGGAGACGTCGGAGTTCTTTGAGTTGACTCCTGAAGAGAAACTGCGGATACTTGGAGCGCTGTGCCACCGGATCCTAATGACGTACTCGGTGCAGGACCACGTGGAGGCCAAGCAGCAGACGTCAGCTGAGCTGTGGAAGGAGCGCCTGGCTATCCTGAAGGAAGAAAACGACAAGAAGAGAGCAGAAAAACAGAAGCGAAAAGAAATGGTGGCTAAGAACAAGGAGAACGGGAAAGATGAAAATATGATGGGAAGAAATGAAAAGAAGAAAAATGAGATGATGAAAATAGAGCACCGGGTAGAAATCGAAGCTGATATGATCAGCGCTGTGAAGAGCAGGCGCCTTCTCGCCATCCAAGCCAAGAAAGAGAGGGAGCAACAAGAAATACAAATGAGAGGTAAGAAAAATACCAGGAGGGCAGAGTGTTGGTGTGTTGTGGAGTAGAGGGTAATAAGTTAACGGCAAATTTGACAGCCTATTTTCAAAAGCTTTATCTGATTTTAAGGGGTTTTCTCACTGTAGAAACTGTAATTCAGCTGCTGTGGTTCCTATGGCAGCTCAAAATCTAGAATGTTAAGAAAAAACAAGAACTGCTTCTAGATTTTTATCTGTGGACATCTTTTGTTCAGTACCTTTCTAATTCTGTCAGGGCCAGGAAGGTTGGAGAACAGAAAATCTGGGTTTGAGACAGAAAACAAAAAAACCACTTGTCTACATCCAAACATCTTCTGGCTCTTATGTACAGAGTAGATAGTTCCTGCATAAAAGCTAGTTCCTACAGCTGCTGCTGGCCTTGGTGCCACGCCTGTTGTCAGGCTGGTGCTAGCAGACGTTCTCCCAGGCAAGGACTTAGGCAATACATTTTAGTTTACAGTTTCTCACTTTAAAAAATTAGTTGTGGAGTTGTGTAAATATAAACTGTCCACTCAAACCTCTATAATTCCCAAGTTGCAATACCAAACTTTGTATGCCTCTGTGTAAGTAAAGTAGTGCTTTGTGCTAAGGAACATGGAATGAAAAGGAGAAAAATACTTTGGAATTACACTTCAGGGCCGTTGTGGTTGTAACCGTGGGTACTGGGCAGATGGAAGTGGATGAGATTGTTGCTTCCTTTCTGCAACAGCTGAGGGACGAGCATCCCTCCTGGAGCCTGTGCCTTAGCTGGAACATGGGAGTCTCTGTTCTAGGAGCCCAAGAGTAGGTAAAGAACGTGGAGTACCCTGGGGCTCCTAAGGGAGCAGCCTGGATACAACCATGCCTCACGTTGATGGTGAATAGACATTTCAGAGCTTCTGTTGAGAACTGTGAGTCTCAGAAGTGTCAGTGAACTGCTGAAGATCTGGAGCCTTGTCCTGCTTCTGCGGAAAAACAGCGTATTAAATACCTGACATGCTGCAGCTGAATGGCCTCTTGGCCCCAGTTCTTGTAGTGTTCCAGTTGATGGACAGCAAGTTCAAGTTCATGATCAGATTTTACTGCAAAATTAAATGCGGTTTAGACCTCACTCCTTGGGATACTTCTTGTTCTCGCCTGACAATTTGCACTAGTTACACGTGAAGAAAAGCATTCTTACATTGACAGAGATACGAATTATTTGGCTTGCATGCTGAGGAAGTTTAATTCATTCTTTTGGACTCCACAGGGAAAACTAGGTCTCTGGCAGGGAAGGAGGGATTGAGCCTTTCACTGAGGTTTGAATTCGTACTGCTTTCTTTCCAGATAACAAACCCAACGTTTCAGGCTTCCAGGGCTGCTTTTACTTGTTGAGCAGTTGCTGCCAGGCACCCTCAGAGTGCTGGAGCTGTCGGTTAGCGGTGGTGGTGCAGCAGCTGGGGCTGCAGGGTTCGCAGCGCAGAGCTGCTCTGTTCAGGACTGCAGACTCGGGGGCTGGTGTGGTTTCAGCGTGTGAGAAACAGTTCTGGGTAACCACAGTGGGAGCTGCGTCGGTGTGCTCCTGCCATCACCCAGGCTCTCTGCGGGCTTTGTCAGCGTACGGCCTTCTACACCACTTCGGTTGCATTTGCTTTTGTTAATGTTGGTATCTGGGGGAGGTAAGAGTCGTTGCTGAGAAAACACCTACTGTGCAGTGGTTCAAT